GGGAATACAGATTTGTTGGACAGATGCTGTCTGTAGCCCTTATACATGGAGGCATCAAGCCATCCTTTTTTTCAGAGCGCCTGTATTGCTCTGTCTCCAGTCTTCCAACTCCTCAAATCAGTGTTGAGGAGGTGGAAGACTGGGAACTTTGGGAGAAGCTGCAAAAGGTAAATATCACCTCAAGTGTCATCACATGGAGGGATAAGTGGGAAAACATTCATTTTGGATGTTTTGATTTAGGGATAGTTGGTTTAAGTATGTTTGGCAAGTTCATCATCACAGATTTTAGCAAACTTTGCTTATGTTAGAATGTGACATATGCCATATATTTTCCAATAAGGTGTCATTACATTTATTGTGCCCTTCAGGACTACCATTAACAAATGTATTGCTGAATATCCGTTTGTCATATAGATACAAGATGCAGAAACACTGCAGGATGCTCGCGATGCAGTTATGGAGGCTTCTAGTTTACTGGGGTTGCTTGGATGTCCTGGGTTTTTAAACACAATGGAACAAAGACATGCCCTTGTACAGGAAGCTGCAAGGGCCTATGTTGAAGGGCGAACACAAAAGGCCTTGGAGCAGTAAGTAACAAATGATCACAAAATTTCTTTCCCTTCCGTAGTCAATTTTTCTGTTTTAGGCTGTTGTGCATGAGGCAAGTTAAGATTTATTTTTTTAATATTTGACAAATTCCATTAGAGCTGTATTGAACACACTATGTCATGAAGAATAATACATGTCATAAAGAATAATAGAGTGATGTAATAATATTAATAATGTGTATATTGAGGGTCAGGCCATTTTCCCACAATTATACTAATGAATGCTATCACTGATGTCCCAGCTTCGTGGCTACATTTATCCTTACAATAGTAAGTACCCTTATGATGACAATATGCACCCACTGTGTTGTTGCGACCAATATAACCCTAACATTAGGTGGGTCACCCCCTTGATCTGGGTTTTGCTCAAAGTTTCTACCTATTAAAAGGGAGTATTTCCTTGCAAGCTTTGCCTGCGAGTTTGCACTAGGGGGATTTCAGGCATTTATTGATGGTATTATATAAATCTATATATTGAGTTACACAAAATTGTGATATGTGAATTGTAAAAGCTTTATAATAGGGAGAAAAACATCCTTATAGCATCATGCTAATCAGGACAAAAAGGGCATATGGCCAGTGACGACAATAGGCTGCCCGTCAATCATGTGTCTAAGACAAGGCAGAATATGTGGAAGGAATCTTGCTTTACTGTTGCATTATGAAAACAAAACACAATTTTTTTTTTTTTTTTAATACTTCTCTGCTCTGTCAGGTTGGTGGATGGATTAAAAACCCTGGGGGTTGCAGAAGCCATTGTGAAGCACCCAGGAACATTAAAACCTCTCTTCGTTGGTGGCCCAAAACGTCTAGAAATGCAGGACCTCCTGGACCTCTTCAGTATCTGCTTTTCAGATCCTGGGAGTAACAGGAGGAGATTAGAAAACCGAGCAATGATGTTTTGGAAGGACTGGCTGATTGAGGTGGATGGTATGTTATATGTCTTCTTTATTGTGCAATGCTTAAAATGTTCACATATATTCATGCTAGGTGTGATATAGTTTTATCTTAGTTGTTCTCGTACCGTTTTATGTGTTTTTCACTTGTGATTTGTGCTGCTGTGAAGTGATTATGTAACTTCTTTCCGTTTCTGTTTTCCTTCTCCTTTAGAGGGAACTAGGCCTGTGACCCTGGAGCAAATCCTTATATTTGCTTCAGGGACTGACAGCATACCCCCACTTGGGTTTTCCCACCGTCCTAATATTGAATTTCTCCATTGTAATGATGGGAATCAGAAACTATTCCCAGAAGCCAATACGTGTCAGGTGATACTGCGCCTGCCCCTGCATCCCTCATACTCAATCTTTGTAGAGTATGTGGAGTCAGGGATTCTACAGTCACCAACATTTGGATTTATTTGAATCCTTATGAAGGTAAAACAGTCTCTTCCTTTCACTGCTGTGTCATGTAATGCATATCATCTATGACCATTCTTTATTTGCCATTAATAGAATCAAGGGTTTCTTAAGCAGTATGGAAAAGTATGGAATTTGATTTTAGTAATTACCAAGCCTGGATAAATATGAAAAAAAAGGGTATAGAAAAATATTTGTTTCCAGAACTCTTGCCCCATTCTGTTGTCTAAAATAAAAAATCATTTCTAGGGCTGTCACAATCGTAAAATTGAAGTCGACATTTTAAGCCTTACCTAAACTGTTCCCAAAACGTTGGAAGCATAGAATTATCCAAGATGTCTTGGTATTATGAAACATTAAGAGTTCTCTTCACTGGAACTAAGGGGCCAAGTCCAACCCCTAATAAACAACCCCATACCATTATCCCTCCTCCTACAAACTTTACAGCTGGCACAGTGCAGTCAGGCAGGTAATGCTTTTGTGGTATCCGCCAAACCTAGACTCATACATCAGACTGGCAAACAGAGAAGTGTGATTTGTCACTACACAGAACATGTTTCCACTGCTCCAGAGTCCAGTGATGGCGTGCTTTACATGACTGTGTCTGACACTTGGCATTGCGCTTGGTGATGTGAGGAATATGGAAGTATTCATTTGTCTTATCTGTTTTCCAGAGTCCATCGTATCTGCTCCTCCTGGGATATTTGTGTTGAATTACAGATGAATCCTTCACTGTGAAGTAAATCAATGTTCTTTCTATTAACATTGAAATGTTTTGCACTTCAGGTTGTTGACGTATGTAGTGGTGGTATTCTACTACATGTTAAATAAATATTTTCTTTGTTCTTCCTTTGCTTCATTTCTCTTCCCCCTCTGATAGGCTACACATGAAAAAACTTTCAGGTAAACAATAGTAGGCTTTCTTCTTAAGATGGTATGAAGTGGGCTATTCATCTATCTATCAGTCTGTCTATCTATCTATCTATCTATCTATCTATCTGACTCTTAACAAAAAGGATGTTTAGTGAAAACGTCCTACAAACAAGTAAGAACAGAAGTTTCAGCATTACATAGCAAAACAATCACAATAACCAATCTTTCCAAGCCAGAAATTGAGGGCCTTGATTCAGTTTCATTGGAACTTTGTTTCATGGAGATGTACAAAGGATCAGTTATGTACAGTACCTTGGTATAACCAGACCCAAATTCATTAACAGCAATAAGCTGGAACTCATTGGCATGTTGAGCCAGGCTATCAATTACCAGCTTTTCTTAAAAATGTTAGGCTGCCACGCAAATGCTAGTATGCCACACAATTGCATGGTCTGCAGTCACAAAGAGGCAGCCTAAATACACTGGAATGGATTCTCAGTGCTTGATATGGTGAATATCCCTAATTAGCACCTTCACACTTTGTGCTTTAATTTTCAATCCTGAACTACAGGCACCAGTCTATGCTGTTACTCAGTTTATTGCACAACTAAATAAAAATATTTTTGCAAAGGATATGAGAAATTAAACAGCCTAAGTAAACGAATTCAAGTCAAAATGTATTTGTATGGCACGTTTTCATACACAAAGCCAAAGTGTTGAACAGTATTAGAAATGCAGAATAAAATTAAACCGAAGGATAAAAAGGCATGTGCAGGTAAGTAGACTGTCTAGGACTAGAAAATGAATAAATAATAAAATGAAAATATATTGAATGATTCCTGTATTGCAGAATAATAAAGCAGAACGACATGCACAACAATATAAAATGGGGAAAATTAAACGGAACTAGAATCAAAACGACAGCAAGACAACCGTCGTAGC